ATATATCTAAATATAACATGATCACACCGCTTTATCACTGAAAGGGTAAGCAAAGACGAATGTATAAATAATTATACTTACATTATAAAATGTAATGTTCGTAATTTTATGAGTTCCATGGTAGCAAGTACTTTATATAAAATGAGCAAAACATGCTAACCGATAAAATATCCAATAAAATATATTCCTATAAATACCCTTTTTTAATATCAAAAAAGTAAAAATAGGCGAAGACCCAAGCACATCTTTCCCTCATAATTACGACAGAAAAATTAATTTACCCCGAATGAAAAATTATTTGCTGTTATGAATTCCTCTTTAGCATCCTTTAGAAAGCAATTAGAATAAAATTAAAAATAACAAGCAGCTGGCCATTGCGTTTAACAGTTCCCTCATAAAAATACTCTCTTCAGAAACCGGCCTTTATAAAATATTTCTAATAAAGCCTTTATTGAGATCATATTCTACAAAATCGAAGCATGGGCTACCAGTGGGTAATATGGTTAAAAATAAAAATGGCCCGTCTTTTCTTGTGACACAATTGAGAGTAAAAAATGTTCATTCTTGCAAGAAAAGAGAAAACCCTTTGTTGAGTAGATTAATGAAAGCATTTTAAGTGCACCTTATAATAGAGATATGGACCAAATTAGCTATGTGTCCATTAATGCATTATATTCCCTTTAGCAATCAAGACGAACAAGTATACTTTTTAACACTAGTTAACAAAAAAATCATACTTTACATGACTTTTCATTACCTAATCTCAAACAAAACAATCTACTGACACACACACCTTTAACACTAACTACAAACGCTATCCCCTGTATCTAAACCCTTTCTCACCTCAAACAAACAAACAAACAAATACACAAAAATGTAATCAGACCCAGTGCTCCAATCAGCAACACGAGAGTACTTCATCCACAATCACAGAGCCGACCGAACCAACGCTCTACGTAAACCGTGGGGAGTTAAGTGCAAAATCTGTTGTGCAGTAGGTCAAGTCGTCACCGACGTATCGCTGGATACTCGAGCGATGTGCGGTCGCAGTGTCAGCGGATTTGAGTAATTGGTTACCTATTTGTTATTCATTGAGTTTGCAAAAGTAATGCATAGTTTATCTAGGGTTCTTCAGAACGATAGCTAGGTACAAATTACCGGTGACTTTTAAGGTCCTGATGAGAATATTACCATTGTTTAATAGATACGACTACAATGTACACTATGTACACTGTACGCTATATAATAAGCTAAGCGGTAGCATATGACAATAAATATTAACTGAACCAACTTTAATACGTTTACAGTCGATGCAATAAGTGTTGACCGACGTTAGCAAAGGATTTGCCTCGAACAGTATTGTGTCAACAGTCAAATCCTTAAACATTAGTACAATATTATTATTATTTATTTATTTAATAGTAAAAGGTACAATGTACGCCTTAAAATTTAACGTCATGTCCAACAAAACTATACAGAAACAGGTAGATAGTATTATTCAAGAATATGTGCATAATATGTGTATTTATAGAATATAACATAACATCACGCCTTTTATCCCCGAAGGGGTACATTATGCCACTGTACAATGTAAAATCCACTTTTCTCTATTTATGTTATGAGACCCATGTAATAGGGGGTGAGCCAATTGCCATATACCGGGCACAATTCCAGACACCGTGCCACTACTGTGATTTTTTTTAAAAACCCAGTAATACTTTGCCCGACTCGGGAATCGAACCCGAGACCTCTTGTCCGGCAGTCGCACTTGCAACCACTCAGCTAATGAGGCAGTCGCCGTTATAGAACATAATATAGAAGAATGTTGAGTACATATCACTGACACCATAAACTAACAAACCATTAATAGACTTGTAAAACACTCCTTTCTAGTTTTCTTACACGCTATCTTCCCTTCATAAATCCACGTAGATATTTAACGTTACCTTAATAATCCAATAGCACTCAGTTGGATGAGGTTGCAGGAATAAATATTAACGACCAATAATGTTTATACCTGGGCAAAATATTAATGCGCCCCGTAAGACCACTGCGGACCAGGTTGAATCTGACCACGATCCATTTGTAAATCGATTACCTACCCCATAACGCGAGTTAAATACCCCGTGAATAATAGATGGGGCAATTAATTCATTACATTATTGTTTGCGAGGCAATGGATTTTACAACCTTAAATTATTAGGTTTTAAGTTGAATTTAATTTGACGTCACGAAAGGATTTCAGAAGTCTGTGGCTGTATTTTAATGTCTACGTGTATTGTAAGTTGTTTATTGAGAACTATTTTATTTTGATTTAATTTTTTTTTGACCTTATTTATTTATGACCAAATATTAGATATTATTTTATTTGTGATTGTAACTATTCCAAGACATGGCATGTGTTAATTGTTACTATTTAATTTTGACTACACATACATATATTCGAATTAGAGGTACATTTGATGATAAATTTAACTTAAAAAAAATGTTAACTTCATTTTTCAAATGTTGCTATGCCCTTACGGGGTCCATAAATGTAACTTAGCTTTAAGCCTATTGTAACACCTTATTAACATTATGGTATGCAAATAAATGAATATGAATATGAACTTAAACCGGATTTTTTTAAAAAGAAACATAACGTCATTTATTCAGTAAAATGATTTAAAATATTTTGGGTATTAAAAGTGTGCACAATTACATTCATTAACATTTTAAATTTTGATTTCAATCATGAAAATAATAACGAATTTCGTACCAAAAGACCGTAAAACAATTACTCTTTGATCTATCATGTTTGTTGATATTCTCACCCGCTACAGATAACACCGAATCAATCATACCAACAATAGTCTCAGTCTATTACCCGCTATCAAAGAAGCCACACTCTTAGCATGTAGTTCGAGAAATCTCTAGTAGTGGAGGGCCTGAAGCCACGCTGGGGAACTGTTGCGTGACTCCGACTTCACAACCCACTAAATCCACCTTTGAATATACCTATCTATGTCATGTCCTATGTACTTCTGTGTATGTAGATAACCAAGAGTCCTTTTGTAAGCACGTTGCATTTCGCTTTATACGGAGTTTCGAATTGTTGTATCTTTATATGATGCAATCTTTATGTACCGGGTTGAAGATTTATTTTTGTTTCGAATACTTTTACAGTGTTATTCTGAAAGGTAGTTTTTAATCTCCTGTTTAATGTTCAAATTCGTATTACCTACTTGTATTAACTGTAGCTTTGTCTTATAGAGGTATAACTCAAAAAATTGCATATATTGAAAATAGTCTCAAACAATTTCTAGTGTTTTCTACATTAATCTAACTACTGATTGAGTAAATCAATTGCCTATAATATGCACAATGTTGAACAAAGACTCTTCTCTCAAGGAGAAGGTTTGGGCAGTAATAACCATGCTTGCTCAATGCGGGTTGACGGTTTCAAACTTATAATTAGAAATTATAGGGTCAGGTTTCGTCAAGATGTTTTCCTTCACCGTTTTGTCAGTAGTGTCTGAATAATCTTAGTGCATATAACTCGGAAAGAGTCTTGGTACCATGCATATGAAGCGGGCGTCTTAAACCTCCCTAAAAACCCTTAATTGAGTACAAAACCAAAAAGTAAAGACGACATAGATTACATCTGAAAATATTTGTTCAGATTATTTTTTAATTAATTCATTTAAATATTAGTAATTTGCTGCTGTCAAAAACGTCAACTCAAAAACTCCCCCGACTCGGCAAGTACTCGCGGACCTTGATTAAAACTTCCTGACGAATACGAAAGAATAGATTTTTTATTAAAATAAAACTTTTAACAAACTTCGTCTAAACTGTGCCAGAGGCCATTGTCGCGAGTGATTTATTACTTTAAGGAAAATTTGAATTATTCAGACCTCTGTTTGATATTTTACTAGACCCAAATAAGTTTTCGGATACAACAAACTTTAAATATATTTCACAGCAAGTTTTGACAAACCGTCGTCTACTAACCGGTCCGTTGTTGGAGGTCAAAGAAATGACCAGGCCAATGGCTCATAAATACTCTAGTACTTCTGCAACTGCCTCGTTGGCCAACGAGGTGTCGTGGTCGTAAGTGCGACTGCCGGGCAAGGGGTCTCGGGTTCGATTCCCGGGCCGGGCAAAGTATAACTGGGTTTTTAAATAATCTCAGTAGTAGCACGGAGTCTGGCATTGTGTTCGGTATATGGCAATAGAATCACTAATAGGGGATTACATGGGACTCAACATAAATAGTAAAAAGTGGGTGTTACATTGAACAGTGGTATAATGTGCACCTCTGTCTACCCCTTCGGGGATAAAAGGCGTGATGTTATGTTACTTTTGCAAATATAACTTAGTGCTTTTTAGACGTATTGAAATAAACTTTCAACAACAGAATAAACCGCAGATACTTACTTTGAAGTAAATTATTAAGCGAATTTACTAAGTAAACTGACTTTACAACTTAAAATAATTATGAGAAAACCAAACTCGTTTTGCAAACGCACATTTCGTAAACTTATTTACGTAAAGATATTTTACAAGTCGTCTATGGCCGGCGCTGATTGCTTACCATCAGTTGGCGTGTCAGCATAACTTCGCTTGATCCAAAAAAAATGTAAAAAAAATAATTAAATTTGGTGGCTGACGTTTGACCACTATCTCGCCTGTTAGTAAACGAAGATGCGGTCTACGATGGAGCACGTCGTCCGTTTTGGAGGTACTCAGGTTATACCCATCAGCAAATACAGATTCTGGCAAAGAATTCCACTCCTTAGCAGTACGCAGAAGGAAGCTTGATGCAAAGCGCTTCGTGTATCCCCCGATTATGGTAGATGGGATATCCCCCATCTACCATAATCGGTGATGCTTCGCCGATTGTCTTGTGGTACGATGATGGAAAGGGCAGGGGGAATCAAGTTGCGCAATCCCCTCGCACACTGATCGAAATGAAATAAATGAATGAATACATTTTTAAACGAATAATTTGTTCGCAGGTAATGTGTTCGTGATAGCAGCTATAATAATCGAGAGGAATCTGCAAAACGTAGCCAACTATCTGGTCGCGTCGCTTGCGGTCGCAGATTTGATGGTCGCATGTCTTGTAATGCCGCTAGGAGCGGTTTATGAGGTAAGACTAAATACAACTACCACTAAATTTGGTTTCTATTATCTCTTAACTTGATTTTATGTCAAGATTTTAGCAAATGACAAACTTAAAATAAAGGATATAAGACAATAGTTGGAAATATTTCACGACTATTAAATATACATGGTGTAGTTTTGAAACTGTGGCATTTCTCGGGGGCATGTCACAGAAGTCATAAAGGTTCAATGTAAAAGAAAGTTTCGGACCAATATTTAAAAATACGGTTATAATAAATCGTTTGAGATCGACAGTATTTCAGAATAAGTGACAGCAATGTTTCTTATTGGAGTTTTATGGAATTAGGAACAATATCAATTACGTGTTTGAGTTTGTGTGTGTTGAGCCGCGTAATAATGCTAGTTACAAGACGGCGGCGTTTAGTTCGCACTTTGTATAAAAGTATTACAATATATGCAAGATCCTGAGTTCACTAGTCGACAGTGCCCAATCAAATAACCAGAAAATCAAAATAGTCTACGTCATCACCCTGATAATAAAACAATGTTAATTCTGCAGTCAAAGTCAAAGCATATATTTCAATTAAACCATAATTTGATACTTTTGAAACGTCAACAAATACAAAATAAATAATTAATAAATAATAGTCTGTCAGTGAGCCCGTCAGTGAAGCTAGGTGAAGCTAGCTGCTCATTCCAAAATGTAGATTCGAATGGAGAAGAACGAGCAAGAAACTCCATAAGCAAGCAGCAATACCCAATTAAGCAAAACTAATAGGTAGCGCCTTAAGTATGTCATCCCATTGGAAAGTAAAAAAGTATCAACGAGTGATTATCATAACAGAGACTTAATTGACAAAGGCGCCCTCTAGGAAGCGCAAATACAACAACGCCTAACGTGACTAATTGTATAATATGTTGACTGATTACACAAAGGATATTAATTAGAAATATTTAAATTCATTTCATTGATATTCAAAAAAATTATTAAAACTAAATATGAAGGGATACACAGCAAACTATATAAAAAGCTATTAATTATCAGTGTTCTAGTACAGATACATCAAACTATTTAAAATTGTCCATGTTAATTAGTACTTTCAACCTTATTGCTTTGTGATAAAATAGAAATTCTATTAAAAGAAATTTCCATTTTGCCTTTCATTACCTTGATGTCTGTTCATAAATTGGTTGCTATAAAAATTACTTCTGAAGTTATAATGCAGTAGAAAAATGAGTAAGAAAATCGTAATTACTGAACCACCTTTTCGACCTCAACTCTACAAAAGAAAATGAATCTAAGTAATTTATGTTTCAACTTTATTATAAAGAAATTAATATTAAGCACTTTTTTAAACTTAAAAGAAATTTGAGACTCACATAGTTACTTTGTGAGGTTATAATCTTAGTAAAGTCATTTTTTTATAACATAGAAATAACTGTATCATGGTTCGAAGATCGACTTATAGTTACTAGAATAACTAGGAATTCAGTTTAGGGCTTTCCAAATTGAAATCATAAAGACAAAAATAAATACAACAGTCGTTTTTTGAGGTGAGGAAACCATTCGCCTAGCTTCGCTGAAATACAGACGGATGAACAAATCAATTTTTGACGTATAAAAAGCCCCAAATTCAGGATTAATTGAAATAAATGCTTTGACTTTGACTCATCCAATGACTTCTCCCGCTTTGGGTGAAGTGAGATAAAATGTCCCTTACTGACTAAAAACTACCCCATTCCTTCTCGCTCTTCAAGCCGTTAAGTCTTGCGCGGTTACTTATCGGGCATCAGCCCTACTGGGCCCCATCTAAAAAGAACCTAACGGGCAACCGGGGCTCCGGCTCAACGTGCAGGAGAAGGAATGGGGTGGTTTTTAGTCAGTAAGAGTCTGACACTCTCTCCCGCCTCACCCAGGCGGGAGCAGAAATTCGATGATTTTCCCCACTTAAAAAAAATGTGAAATAATAATGATACACGATAATTCAAAAACCAACCTTAAAAAATACAATTCGAAATTATTTACACCATTTTGCAATCTCCGTTCACATTACAAAAAAAAAACAAAAACTAAGATTCTCAATTCAAAATAAAAACGAAACAAAACTACCTATTACATAAACAATAAAAATAAAAAAGAAACTTTATACAAAAAGTTTTAATGCCAGCAGCAAACAAACATTTGGCCAAATGTTTCGCCAACTAGTTGGTGTGTAATTTGCCAAGTTGGAGTACACGTGTTAGTCGCATGCATGAGAGGGTTTGCCCCCAGCTATGGTAGTTACCAACCCTTACAGCGTTTGATTAAAGCGGTCGAGTAGTTAAATAAAGTTGTTACAATTGTCGGGAATTTGTGATCTGCATTGTGTTATTATATTTTGTTTGGTTAAGGTGCGACAACTGTTTTTATCGCTAAAATACTTTTAAATACATAAAAGGGATGGGAGATTCTTCTCAAAGTCAAAGTCAAAGCTTTTATTTCAATTAAACCATAATTTGTTAATCTGCCGTCACCACCTGACACTGGCAGTATAGTCAACAACATCGTATTGGAGACTCGGTTGCCAAAGACAAAAAAAAAACATAATTTGCTACTTTTGAAACGCCAACAAATACAAAATAAATAATAGTCTGTCAGTCAGTCCGTCAGTGAAGCTAGGTGAAGCTAGGCGCTAATTCCAAAATGTAGATTCGAATGGAGAAGAACGAGCAAGAAACTCCATTCGTTGCTGTTTTTAAAAAAGTATGTTCTACAATGTCTCTGATACATATTCCGATATTGTAATATTGTATGCATATGTGAGAACAATGCATTCTCTACATTAAAAACGATTTGTCGTCGGCGGTATTTCCGAATCGATACGACCTTCAAACCTTCAAGAAAAGAGCGTATTCCTTTTTAAAAGGCTGGCAACGCATCTGTGACTCCTCTGGTGTTGCGGGTATCCATGGGCAGCGCTGGTCGCTTACCATCAGGTGATCCGTCTGCTCGTTTGCCTCCTATTCCATAAAAAAAAAGAAGGACATGTCATCAACTCCACGCTCAGAAAATGAGGATATCATAGAGCACTGCTGTCTAGTCTCAGGACGGTCAGTATACTATTGTAATCAAAAAAATACTACAACCAAGTCCAAAACAATATTAAAGAACACGATCCGAAAATTCGTTTCGGATTAAGATAACAAATAATTGTCAAAAAACTTTTCTATTTTAACTTAGACACCGAAAGGCTTTTTAAATATTAAAATAGTAATTCAGCAGTGTGGTAGAAAATTTCGAAACTAATCAGCCTGTTTGAATATTTGAACGAGGAGTTGGTTTCGGGGTAACTTGTTGAGACCAGACAACATATGGCGGTGGAGTTGGTTAAATAAATCAGCGATTAATCTTGTGGGCTAGTCGGTTTGGAGATAGTGTGATTTAAACCGAAAAGGGGAAAATAAATCTATTTACAATTTGTATAACTTTGCAATTTGTAGTAATGCATAAACTAGGAACAGTCTTTGTTTATCAACACAATCATAGTGTCAGACAGAAAACATGTACTACTGAACATACAGACGCCTTATTACTTCCACGTCATAGACCGCTTGGACTCATTTGAATTTTAACAATAGCCTTCTTGCAATCGGGTATTTGTCCTCTAGCCGGTTGCCAAGCATGGGTATTATGGCAAAACCTCGCTTAAGAGAGACGCTTTTATAAGCAGAGGACTTGCTAGACTACTCTATATGGTGACGTCGATCGCATTCCGCCCGTCATTGGTCAAGATTATTCTCACAACCAAAGACGTAGCAGACCGCGATCGAGCTCACTTCGAGAGTTCCAATTGATATCTTACAGAATAGCCTTTGAATTGTGTCTTAGATTCATACATAAGTCATTGTGTAATAATACCGAACATTTCTCCTTCAGGTTAGTCAAGGCTGGATCCTGGGTCCGGAGCTGTGTGACATGTGGACCTCCAGCGACGTGCTATGCAGTTCCGCATCTATTCTTCATCTTGTTGCTATAGCTACTGACAGGTAACTATTAAATTGATATTATGTAGCCTATTCAAATGTTTTTGATAAGTCCCAGTAATAGCGAGTCCGTGCTATTTGTGAAAAATTATAAAAAAAAATCGAATATTGCCTTAATTTTAAATTGAGAGTCGCTCCAAAATCACACTGTCCAAAAAAATACTGCTTGCTCTGTTCTTTAGGAACTTTTCTAAAAATTCTCCAATCTAAATAAAAAATCTATAACATTTTTAAAATAGCATACTTTAAAATTCTCTAAAACGAACGAGAATTTTTAAATATCTACACTAAATTTCAATCCAACTACCTTTTTCTAAACTTCTCAGATATTTTCGATTGTGAAACTTGGTCGCGTCAAATACTTAAATTACTTTTTCTCAAACGATATCGGAGACAAGCGTCACAGCAGTATAGATAAAACTGATTCACTGCTCAATAAATTCAAAAAGTTTCGACGTCTCATAATAACATAAAATACTGTCGCAGCTTCTGTTATTGTTATGTTTACGTAAAGAAGGTGATTAACATTCTAATAAATATTGACGTAATATTTAATGTTAAGACCTTATTTTAGTACACGTTATTAATTCAAGTGAATATAACTGAGAATTTTGATATTGAAATATTTCATCTAAACTATGTGGACGTGCTTTATAACATCACTTTACCAATTTCAAAGATGGATCCAATATTGACTTGTGACTAAAACGTTTACTTATGCGTATCAATTATTCCAGGTATTGGGCTGTGACAGACGTAGACTACATACACATACGCAATGAAAAGCGTATATTCACGATGATCGTGCTGGTCTGGGGGGCGGCACTAGTCGTGTCACTTGCTCCCCAGCTCGGCTGGAAAGATCCAGACTACCTCGCCAGAATTACACAACAACAGAAGTGCCTCGTCAGCCAAGACCTGGCGTATCAAATATTTGCGACAATGTCGACGTTTTATGTCCCTCTTGCTGTTATCCTCATCTTGTACTGGAAGATCTTCCAAACTGCCAGGAGACGTATCAGGAGGAGACGTGAACCTCCTCCTCCTAGACCTACATCAGCGGACGGCGCACCACCTTCTGGACGACCAGTCCAATCAGCAAGGGACCGAAGGTTTGTTAAGAAACGGTTCCTCAACTTAAAGAAGTGCAATCAACGGACTCGTGCGGAGACGTTGGCTGCTGCCCTGTTGTTAACTGAAGGTCAGAGCACCTCAACTGTGGACACATTGGACGAAGAGCCAAGGACCACAGCGTTCACAATCAACGAGAAGGCGCCTGCTTCAGTGTCCCCAGAAAAGTCTTCCTCGACTGTTACTAATGGCTCGAAGCCCGAACGAGCAATTGTCCCAGCTCCTACGCACAGAGAGAAGAAAGAATCTCTAGAGGCGAAACGAGAGCGAAAGGCAGCGAAGACGCTCGCTATCATAACAGGAGCATTCGTGTTCTGCTGGCTTCCATTCTTCATAATGGCGTTGGTGATGCCAATCTGTCAAACGTGTGTTATCAGTGATTACCTAGCTAGTTTTTTCTTGTGGCTAGGCTACTTTAATTCGACCCTAAACCCTGTAATATATACAATCTTCAGCCCCGACTTCCGCCAGGCGTTCGCGCGTATTCTTTTCGGCACTCATAGACGGGGCCGTAATAAAAAGTTCTAACGAAAATATCACTATTATATATATAACTGAGGCCTCTGAGGCCGTATGGACTATGGACTATGTTACTCAACCTATATGTATGATATTTCGCTTTCTGTATGTTATACATACTAAGTAGAGAGTGTAAATACGTTTATTCGGTGATAATATTGTAAATAATATAAAGGTATATGATAGATGATGTTGACAATTGTTTTTTTTACGCGTTATAGTGTATGCAGCCGCGACGGGGTCGCTCGTGAGTCCTGGGCGGCCCCTCCGCTCGCTCTTATGTTGTTTCAAGTGACATTACGAAATAAATATTTAAATTATATCAGATTCAAAGACTTTTATTGTCTCCCTTTTTTAATAAAACCCTCCGTTTATTTGAGAAAGCTGGCAAGATATCGGGCGCAATTAGAAAATCTTTTAAATCTATTTTTTCGTTGGCTTTGTACTTGATCCCTTTGTGGCAATATTATGGGAGATTTTTATCTTCTGTATATTTAAGGTAATCCTAAACTACTTAGGCGTATTCGGAAACTCATTTCTCTTCGTTGAGGATTTATTTTATTGCTCTTCTTATTTTTGTTTTATTTGAATAGATACTTGGGGTATTACCGTTGATATGAAAATAGGTTTATGGAGTTTTAATGTTAATTTTATTTGGCACATTCCTTCCATGGTAGAAGGGATAGAGAGATAAGGGTACAATCACCACATAAGGTAAAGGATTAGTGATGCGGTGAGATGGGATTGATTAACGTGTGACCTTTAATGACCCCTGGGGAAATCTGTGTCCCCTAGCTGCGGTTTCCTCGTTTCTCCTAAAAATATATCATTGCTATTTGTAATCCAATTTCCTATTTTAAGAAATAAGGTAAAAATAAAAATGTCCCTCCATTGGTTTAGTGGTTGCGGTAGCGTCTAATTGTGTGGTTTTGTCTGTGATTGAGATCTGATTTATTATTGGACTGGATTCTACTTAAGCGTGTGAATGACCCTAATATTATAGATGTTTGGTTGTTTGGATGTTTGTCCGTCAATCACAATGAAACTACTGAGCAGATTTTAATGAAATTTGGTAGCATAGAGACATGTTTTTTATTTTTTTTTAAGGGGGGAAAATCTTCGAATTATACATGCCTGATACATGATACAGACAGAGTATTAGGGTAGGCGTAGACTTAGGTGATAGGGTACTCTTTATCCCGATTAAATGCTCTCATGAGATAAAACCGGAATCATATTCTACGCGGACGAAATCGAAGGCGAGTATAAATGAATAGAAATAAAACAACTACTTTATACACCACTTTCTTCCTGAGTGCCAGTTGGTTGGTTCACTGGAGCCGGCCAGAGCGCTGAACGAGCTCGATATTCTCAAGCTACGAATGCGATAGTTATTTGTGCTTGGCACTCTGGCTTTACCGAAAACTGCTCTGAAACAGTGAAAGTTTCTATACCTATCAGTTAACACCTCAACATGATTATCACACACATATCCTTATCTGTCACATCACCATTCACACACAGACATGCAAAATCCTCTCCAAAACCCCTTAACATTCAAAACACTACCACTATATTCAAAATTGCATTGTAATCTAAACCCGAACACATTAATTAAAACTTAACCCTTCACTAATCAAATAAACTGAAACCCATCCATGTTGCTAGCTATTGATCAACCGTCTCAATAGACAGTTTGTTTTACGTCAACTCCATCGACACGTTTATGACGTTCAGCGCTCTGATTGGCCTGCTACAATGAATCGACCAATCACAGAGCTAAACGCTGTAACATTTCGGTCGCGTTTACGTAAGAACAAACTCGCACTAGGACCAAGTTCATGTTTCCCTCTTCAATCAATCAATCAGTTCACTTGCAATATGTTAATGCATTCAAATCAGTCGAAATGTTTCCAACTTTATGTAAAACCACTCCGAGTTTTGTTAACTTTGTTCGGTAACGTTATAAATCGCGTGTGTTTCGCCATTCGCTAATGGAGTTTTAATAACGAAAACTTGTTTATTTTAACGCGTTTTAAGTTGTATTCGCTGTGTGTAGGTAATTTTATGTGATCAATTATTTTGTTGCGAAGTTTTCAAGACTTGACTTGTTATAAAGTAGGTAGATAATTAATGATTAAGTTCCCTTGACGATATTATTTTTGAGTCAAGGACTATTAAATTGTTACGGTTGTTGCAGTGCTTGGGCAACCGGCTACCGAGCGTACTGCGGATTCGATTCCCGCACGGGACAACACTTTGTGTGATCCACAGATTGTTGTTCCGGGTCTGGGTGTCATGTGTATGTGAACTTGTATGTTTTTAAACGCACCCACTACGCAAGAGAAAATCCTAGCGTAGAGCAAGGTTAATAAAAAAACTGGCGTAAGCTATTTAACAATACTATGTACTACGATATTTGTCATTGTCGTTATTGTAAATCAGCAAACGCAAAGTCTGAAAGACAGCAATTAATCCCTTATTCACACAACATTAGGTACTTATAAACCTTTGTAGAATGACCTAGAACCACAAGAGAATAAAGAGGATACTTTAACATCAAAAACTAACATTAAAGTAACAAGTTCAGTGTACCACAAACGCGAAAAAACACAAGTGTTAACCTTTCTTCTTTGCCAATAGATAATCGCTTTTGAAGTTTACCAAGCACTTGGGCCTACGCACACATCTATATGCTGAAGTGTGAAAGAAAAACAAAAACTATCTACCATCAGGGCACATACGTCCTATGCCCACATTTTTTTCTCTTCAAAGCGTGACAGCCTTAAAAAATGGTTGGTGAGTGGACGACGCTCTTGTTAAAAGCGTTAGCGATTTTGAATTATAAGTGGAATTGTGAAATGGTAGATTTAAATTAATTAAATCGGTTGTCAGTGTGGTATTACCATGTTAATTATTTTTCTCTGGTTATCTTAGGTATGAGCCTTTTGTATCTATACTCGGAATTTTAATTCGATTCCAGATTTGACAATTTCAGTGTTGCAACGTTATGACAAGTATTAAATAGTGACGTTGCGAAATTATTCGATATGGAAATGCAATATTTCTGGATCGAGTCTTCTCGTTTATAATTTTACTCTCGTAAACAAGGTATATCAGGAAATTAAATATTTCTGAACCGATAATATACTTTTGACGATTAATTAACGATATGAGACTTTTCTTTTATAATTGTGTGTGAAATAAATAAAAAAATGTAATCATGAAGGAACATGACAAATAAAACAGATAGATGTATTAGGGTAATAAGTTATTTTATAAATTGTCGCCGTCATCGTTATCGCTATCCTGTCACTTTCTGTAACATTTATTATAAAGCACACACACTGATTGTTTATCGATTTTTGTGTTCATCACTACACTATTATATGTGGTATCATTATTTCACAAAATGACAGTAGCTATTGTCAAATCTGGAATCTAATTAAAATTCTGACTATAGTACGTTAAGAACGAAGTATACTTCGGAGCTGAAGTTACGATTAATCTTAAACTACAAAATTTACTTAACCAACTTTTATGGTGTCCCGTAATTTTTACCACCTCACATCAAAATTAAGCCACGCTACCAAATAAATAACACCCCGCCTGTCACCGCTACAATAAAAATCCAACTCAATTCGAGATCAATTCAAAGAAAAATATGTCAAGACACCAATTTTGTACCAAACAACAACATCAAACCCGCTTCCGCTCGTCAATGTTATCACACCCTTCGACCCCATATGTTGTCACTCGAGGAGGGGACGAAATAAATTGTGAAAAGGAACTTGGCCAGTTCCAACTGATTTCCCCACTACTTGATAAGAAATAGCCTTTTAACCTAAAAGGTAAACGATAGAGGGAGCCACTATCGCTACTTTTGTCATATTTATTTCTATAGTGAAGAAACGAGTAAAATATGGGGCTATAGATTGTGTAAAATAAGTGTTATCTAAGTTTTTGGTGTAGGGCTGTAGGGCGCGAAGATTGATGGGGAAATATGATGGTAGTTTGGTTTGAGTATATATTTACTTGTATTGTTTGATCAGATTTTAGTGTATTTTTGAATTTTTTGTGAGTGGAAATTGATTTATTCTATGGTATATGGTTATGGAGTAGGTATGTATTGGTTGAAGCGTAAAATTTAATAAAACTAAAAATCTGCTTGGTACTCAGCAAGACTCCTTTATTGAAATTAAAACCTATTCTTGATTAAAGACGATGTTATAGATACCTATAACGTATGTATGTATACACATACACCCACTTTTCGCAAGCTATGTTATTATAGTTCCATTGTAACTTGATGTTATTATTAAGAATTGTGATACTTAATAAGATTTTACTGAAACCAGACGTTGAACTCAAAATATACGTGTATTTAGGTGCAAATTGTTCCAAACTAATGAATACAAAAACAACACTTACTTATTACCTAGACTCTAAACAACACACAGCAAGGCTTAACGGAGACATACGTCTACCTCGGGATGTGCTGTAACAGGCGTTTCATCGTGTGGGTTCCGGAGCAGGTCTATTATAGAGGTGCCCCCCATACGTGATGATGGTGGCCACCGGGATGGCTTCAGTAATATAGGAAACTCACATACCCCAAAAAAGCTAGGCATCTTTCGAAAGTTTCCCCCATTCAAGATGAAAGGTTGGCCTGGTGATCTGTGATACATTTACGTACTACAGATACCAGTCTCAAGTTTATTGTGTCATTGTTTAGTGAATTCTGTATTGTTAGTTGATTTTTAGAAAAAAAATGATTTAAATGGTATAAAAAAACACCAAAAAATACTCTAAATAACAACAACATAACATCATGCCTTTCTTCCCCGAAGGGGTGGGCAGAGTTGCACATTATGTTACTTAATGGCACCGTACCATGTAACACCTATTTTTCACTATTTCATATTATGAGTCCCATATAATAGGGGGTGAGCCTATTGCCATATACCGGGCACAATTCCAGACTCCGTGCTACCACAGACATCTATTTAAAAAACGCAGTAGTACTTTGCCCGACCCGGGAATCGAACCCGAGACCCCTTGGTCGGCTCTCGCACTTGCGACCACTCGGCCAACGAGGCAGTCTAAATAACAATACACGTGTTTCATCTAGAATCTAGACAACGCACGTGTAACACCTACTGTATATTTATATCCAGACTAGTTACTCAATCCCTTTTATTTAACACTGAATCTAAATCGAAACATCTGAAATCTTGTAGAGCAACCAATCGGACTACTACCTGTCTTACCCAACTCAATGGAAAGTTCA